GCGTAAAGGATGCACGTGTGAGTATTCGTGCACGCAAACGCGCGCGCGCTCTTTGATACGAGTGAGTTGGGTTTAACGCCGCTTTTAACAACATTCCAGCAATATCGTGGCGTGTCAGCTTAATGTGGGAGGAAAGCCCGAAGTGGTGCAGGTCTCAGACGTTTTACCGCTTCAGTGAAACCCACGAGCATGGGTATGGTGCCTCCAAAACCAGTAATATAATCGGGGCTCACCGGGATTCGAAACCCACAATCATAGGTTTCTGGCATGCCCAAGGGACGCAACTCTGCACAGCGAATCGCGGCGCCTTAGACGACTGTACCAACCGTGGCCCCTCTCTTTGATTCGAAATCTCACTAATTGCTATTGGGATCTGCATGTTCACTATAATAATTTCAGGCTATATTGTTATCGAATCGTCTATACATAGATTCCATAGCCCAGCAAGGGGGCACGGGTGGCCCAGTCGTCTAAGGCGCCGCAATTCGCTGTGCAGAGTTGCGTCCCTTGGGCACGCCAGAAACCTATGATTGTGGGTTCGAATCCCGGTTCGCCCCGATTATGTTTCTAAGTTTGTCAGCACCATACCCGTGCTCGTGGGTTTCACCGAAGTGGTAAATGTCTAAGGCCTGCATCACTTCGGGCTTTCCTCCCACATTAAGCTGACACGTTGTGATATAACTGGAATACTGTTAAAAGCGGCGTTAAACCAAACTCACTCACTCACTTACTCACCCATAGCCCAGCAATGCTTATATTCACACGCTCGAACAATCACTGGTCTTACTCGCCTGGGCATTCCAAGACGTTGGTCAAATGACATCTTATGGGGTTCAGAATGGATAGAAGAGGGGTTGTTGTTGTTGGTGGTTTACAAAACCCTGTTCAGTGTAATACAGCTTTTCAGCAGTTGCAGGTGGTTTAGATTGGGACACGCTGTCACTGCGAAAGGTGTTTATTAAAACAGACCATAATAAACTCGCGATGACAGACTCCGTCTTGCTGGGTGACCCACATAAAACGGATTAAGGTGTGCGCCCAAGTACATATTTTCGATCAGTATCTAGCCAAATAACAGAAACGAATTCATTATGGTTTTCTTGACTTCGCTTGCCGCTCAAACATTAACTTGGAGTTCTGGACGCGTAGGGCAATATTAGAGCTATAACCGTTGGTCTTTCACCAGCAATATTTCAGCAATACGGGTGCAACATATAAGAAATAATTTGATCGTTAAATTACGACCTGCAGTCAGCAATATTACACTTATGTCACGGCAGCCTGCAATCAGCAATATTACAGTTGTATGACGGTAGCCTGCAGTCAGCAATATTACAAGTATATCACGGCAGCCTGCAGTCAGCAGTATTACAATTATATCGCGGTAGCCTGCAGTCAGCAATATAACAATTATATCGCGGTAGTCTACAGTCAGCAATGTTACAATTACATCACGGCAGCCTGTAGTCAGCAATATTACACTTATATCACGACAGCCTGCAGTAAGCAATATTACAATTATATCACGGCAGCCTGTTGTCAGCAATATTACAATTATATCGCGGCAGCCTGGTAAGCTATATTACAATAATATCACGGCAGCCTGCAGTCAGCAATATTACAATTATATCACGGCAGCCTGTAGTCAGCAATATTACACTTATATCACGACAGCCTGCAGTAAGCAATATAACAAGTATAGCACCGCAGCCAGCAGTCAGCAATGTTACAATTATATCCAAGCAGCCTGCAAACAGCAATATTACAATTATATCACAGCAGCCTACAAACGGCAATATTACAAAAATATCACGGCACCCCGCAGTCAGCAATGTTACAATTATATCACGGCAGCCTGCAATCGAGAATGTTACAATTATATCACGACAGCCTGCAATCAGCAATATTACAATTGTATCACGGCAGTCTGCAAAGAGCATTATTACAATTATATCCCGACAGACTGCAACCAAAAATATTACAATTATATCACAGCAGCCTGCAAAACAGCAATATTACAATTATATCACGGCAGCCTGCAGCCACCAATATTACAATTATATCACGGCACCCTGCAACCAGCAATTTTATAATTATATCACGACAGCCTGCAGTCAGCAATATTGCAATTGTATCATGGCAGCCTGCAAACAGCAATATTATAATTATATCACGGCAGCCTGCAACCAAAATTATTACAGTTTTATCACTGCAGCTTGCAACCAGAAATGTTACAATTATATCACGGCAGCCTACAAACAGCAATTTTACACACAAAAAATCACAGCACCCGTCAACCAGCCAAAATACAATTATATCACGGCAGCCTGCAACCAGCAATATTACAATAAAATCACAGCATCCGTCAACCAGCCATATTAGAATTATATCACGGCAGCCTGCAATCAGCCATATTAGAATTATATCACGACACCCTGCAATCAGCAATGTTACAATTATATCACGACACCCTGCAATCAGCAATATTACAATTATATCACGGCAGCCTGCAACCATGAATATTACAATTATATCACGGCAGCACGCAACCAGCCATATTGCAATTATATCACGGCACCCTGCAACCAGCAATTTTATAATTATATCACGGCACCCTGCAACCAGCAATTTTATAATTATATCACGTCAGCCTATATCACGACAGCCTGCAACAAGCAATATTACAATAAAATCACAGCACCCGTCAACCAGCCAAATTACAATTATATCACGGCAGCCTGCATCAAGCAATATTACAATAAAATCACAGCACCCGTCAACCAGCCATATTAGAATTATATCACGGCAGCCTGCAACCAGCCATATTACAATTATATCACAGCAGCCTACAACCATGAATATTACAATTATATCACAGCAGCCTACAACCATGAATATTACAATTGTATCACTGCAGCCTGCAACCACCAATATTACAATTATATCACTGCACCCTGCAACCAGCCATATTACAATTATATCACAGCAGCCTACAACCATGAATATTACAATTATATCACAGCAGCCTACAACCATGAATATTACAACTGTATCACGGCAGCCTGCAACCACCAATATTACAATTATATCACGGCAGCCTGCAACCACCAATATTACGATTATATCACGGCAGCCTGCAACCAGCCATATTACAATTATATCACAGCAGCCTACAACCATGAATATTACAATTATATCACAGCAGCCTACAACCATGAATATTACAATTGTATCACGGCAGCCTGCAACCACCAATATTACAATTATATCACGGCAGCCTGCAACCAGCCATATTACAATTATATCACAGCAGCCTACAACCATGAATATTACAATTATATCACAGCAGCCTACAACCATGAATATTACAATTGTATCACAGCAGCCTACAACCATGAATATTACAATTGTATCACGGCAGCCTGCAACCACCAATATTACAATTATATCACGGCACCCTGCAACCAGCCATATTACGATTATATCACGGCAGCCTGCAACCACCAATATTACGATTATATCACGGCAGCCTGCAACCACCAATATTACAATTGTATCACGGCAGCCTGCAACCACCAATATTACAATTATATCACGGCAGCCTGCAACCACCAATATTACAATTATATCACGGCAGCCTGCAACCACCAATATTACGATTATATCACGGCAGCCTGCAACCAGCCATATTACAATTATATCACAGCAGCCTACAACCATGAATATTACAATTATATCACAGCAGCCTACAACCATGAATATTACAATTGTATCACGGCAGCCTGCAACCACCAATATTACAATTATATCACGGCAGCCTGCAACCAGCCATATTACAATTATATCACAGCAGCCTACAACCATGAATATTACAATTATATCACAGCAGCCTACAACCATGAATATTACAATTGTATCACGGCAGCCTGCAACCACCAATATTACAATTATATCACGGCAGCCTGCAACCAGCCATATTACAATTATATCACAGCAGCCTACAACCATGAATATTACAATTATATCACAGCAGCCTACAACCATGAATATTACAATTGTATCACAGCAGCCTACAACCATGAATATTACAATTGTATCACGGCAGCCTGCAACCACCAATATTACAATTATATCACGGCACCCTGCAACCAGCCATATTACGATTATATCACGGCAGCCTGCAAACAGCAATATTACAATAAAACCATGGCACCCGTCAACTAGCAATATTACAATTATATCACGGCAGCCTGCAAACAGCAATATTACAATTATATCACGGCAGCCTGCAAACAGCAATATTACAATTATATCACGGCAGCCTGCAACCACCAATATTACAATTATATCACGGCACCCTGCAACCAGCCATATTACAATTATATCACGGCAGCCTGCAAACAGCAATATTACAATTATATCACGACAGCCTATATCACGGCAGCCTGCAAACAGCAGTATTACAATTATATCACGACAGCCTGCAACCAGCCATATTACGATTATATCACGGCAGCCTGCAAACAGCAATATTACAATAAAACCATGGCACCCGTCAACTAGCAATATTACAATTATATCACGGCAGCCTGCAAACAGCAATATTACAATTATATCACGGCAGCCTGCAAACAGCAATATTACAATAAAACCATGGCACCCGTCAACTAGCAATATTACAATTATATCACGGCAGCCTGTAAACAGTCATATTACAATTATATCACGGCAGCCTGCAACCAGCCATGTTACAATTATATCACGGCAGCCTGCAAACAGCAATGTTACAACTATATCACGGCAGCCTGCAAACAGCAATGTTACAATAAAATCATGGCACCCGTCAACTAGTAATATTACAAGGGCAAGAGTCAAGTTAAAAGAAGTTTATTTGACTTTGACTTCTTTTGACAATATTACAATTATATCACGGCAGCCTGCAACCAGCAATGTCACAGCTATATCACGGCCTGTCTGCGCAGTCAGCAACATTTTAACTATTATACGATAGCCTGTAGTAAGTAAATTTTACAGCTACGTCGTGGCAGCCTGAAGTCCGCAATATCACAGCTAGGATTCGGTAGAGGCAAACTATTGCGTATAAGCATCGAACCACAGTCGGGGTACCACAGTCGGGGTACCACGGTCGGGGAACCACAGGCGGAACACCACAGTCGGGGAACCACAGTCGGGGAACCACAGTCGGGGTCCCACTGTCGGGGTACCACAGTCGGGGTACCACAGTCGGGGAACCACAGTCGGGGAACCACAGTCGGGGTACCACGGTCGGGGAACCACAGGCGGGACACCACAGTCGGGGAACCACAGTCGGGGTACCACAGTCGGGGTACCAAAGTCGGGGTACCACGGTCGGGGAACCACAGACGGGACACCACAGTCGGGGAACCACAGTCGGGGAACCACAGTCGGGGTACCACTGTCTGGGTACCACAGTCGGGGAACCACAGTCGGGGAACCATCGGCGGGACACCACAGTCGGGGAACCACAGTCGGGGAACCACAGTCGGGGTACCACAGTCGGGGAACCACAGGCGGGACACCACAGTCGGGGAACCACAGTCGGGGTACCACTGTCGGGGTACCACAGTCGAGGAACCACAGTCGGGGAACCACAGTCGGAGCACCACAGTCGGGGTACCACAGTCGGGGTACCACAGTCGGGGAACCACAGTCGGGGAACCACAGTAGGAGCACCGCAGTCGGGGAACCACAGTCGGGGAACCACAGTCGGGGAACCACAGTCTGGGAACCACAGTCGGGGTACCACAGTCGGGGAACCACAGTCGGGGAACCACAGTCGAGGTACCACAGTCGGGGAACCACAGTCGGGGTACCACAGTCGGGGAACCACAGTCGGGGTACCACAGTCGGGGAACCACAGTCGGAGCACCACAGTCGGGGAACCACAGTCGGGGAACCACAGTCGGAGCACCACAGTCGAGGAACCACAGTCGGGGAACCACAGTCGGGAAACCACAGTCGGGGAACCACAGTCGGGGTACCACAGTCGGGGAACCGCAGTCGGGGTACGCTGACATAGTTTATCAGCCGGGACAGGGCGAGTTGATGTACCAGGTTGGTACAAATCAAACTACAATGTATTCACCTGAGACGTACCAAAATTTCCACTGCAAGGGGACCACCTCAGGAAATCGTCAGGGAAGCAATGTGTTGAGACCTTGGATATTTCGGTGCATTAGCTGGAAGGGTCTGGTGATATATATATGGTGATTTGGGCGTTTCCGATGTTTCACGGCCCAACATGGAGAACTCGGGGGTGGTACGTACCAGAACGTGGGGTCACGGTCGAGTTGACGAGAGGAGAGGAGCTGCACAGGGATGGGTGGGAGCTAAGTGGCGTGTCTCTTCGAGAGTCAGAACATCGCGCGGGGTGCGAACGGGGAAGAGGGGCCCGATTCTGCGCCGTCTTATCACCTCTATCAAGTATATATATATATATATATATAAATATACGTTGTAGGGTCGCGTCAGCATGCGGTGTCGCAACATGGCTGACAGAGATATAGACCGTTAACTGCCAGGAACGCCGGGGGTCGGTCGCAGATTGCGCGGGGGGTGGGGGAGGAGGGGGTGCGCTGGTTTTTCTCACGACGTCGGTGAGGCGAAACCACTTTCAGGCATTCACGCCACACAGCTCCACGTGGGAACGGACTAGGAGTGGGCGATAACCTGAGATTGTCATGCAACATTGTAGGAACTGCGATGTCTATTCAAGTACAAACTAATCTTGGAATACACCCTGGCGGCGCTTCTCGAAGTATTCTCGTGTGTGTTCGCACATTCTCGTGGCAGTTTCTTAGGTTTAGACCGAACTCCGGCGCAGTTGTGACTCAGCATAACACCACTGCCACAGGCTAATTTGCATATCACGTGACCGGACTTTTCTCTTGTTTGTAAACAAACGCGCTTTTTCAGTAATCAGTATAGAACGGACTAATGCAAGTATTTGGGGGCGCTTTACATATTGTTTTGCATAACTATATAGATATGCTACTTCAACTGCGACAGTGAGTTGCATGACAATATATATTTATGCATCAAAGTGACCGTGTCGCTAGCTCTCCGTGGGGCTTCGATGACAGCACGTGGAGCCGTACAACCAATGTAAACATAGGATAACTACGCAAAAACAAGTAGATTTTTACGTATTTGCATACTTTTTCAATGAAAGTTAACCATTCTTTGACATTTGTTTTTGAAAATGTGTAGACTTGTCAAACATGAAACGGATGAAAAGCATATGCAATATCTTGAATGGACTGTGAAAGATGTGACGAATCGTCACATGGCGCTGGCCTGTGGCAGAGGTACTATACTGGCTGGCTGCCGGCCGCATGGAACTCTGGGTAGGAGAGTAGGTTTAGACCGCAGTTTTCAAGTTCTCGTCGCTTTTTTCAAGTTGTCGCTGTTTTCACATTCTCGTCTCTGTTCTCTGGTTCTGGCCACTGTTTTTAAGTTTTTCATCGCTGTTCTCTAGTTTTAAGTCGCTGTTTTCTTATTTTTCGGGTCCCTGTTTTATCGAATCTCTGATCCCTAAATTCTCGTCACTCTTCTCCCAGTTCCTGTGACTTTCCTCTTGGTTCTCATCGCTGTTCACGGGGCGGTCGGGTAGCCTAGTGGTTAATGCGTTCGCTCGTCACGCCGAAGACCCGGGTGTCCCCCGCCGTGATATTGCTGGAATATTGCTAAAAGCGGCGTAAAACCGTACTCACTCACTCATTCATCGCTGTTCACTGATTTTAAGTTGCGTTTTCTGGATCCTCTCAGCGGTTCCCAGGTTCTGGTAACTGTTCTATTCTCATCAATGTTTTCTGGTTTCAATGTTTCTCAATGTTTGTATCGCTGTTTTCATGATTATTCGGGGGTACGGGTGGCCCAGTTGTCTAAGGCGCCGCAATTCCCTGTGCAGAGTTGTCTCCCTTGGGCACGCCAGAAATCTTTGATCGTGGGTTCGAATCCCGGTTCGACCCGACCATGTTTCTAGTTTTGTCAACACTATACCCGTGCTCATGGGTTTTACCGAAGTGGTAAACGTCTGAGACCTGCGTCACTGCTGGCCTTCCTCCGACATTAAATTGACACGCCGTGATATAACTGGAATACTGTTCAAATCAGCGTTAAACCTAACTCACTCACTCAGTTTATGTTATCATCGCTGCTTCTTGGGTTCTCTAGATTCTCGACGGCCTCCGTGGTCTAGTGGACTGAAGCCAGGCCCGGAGAACGGAAGATCGGTAGTTTTCTCCACGGCCGCATGAAACAAAAGACGTACAAAGATGGTATTTTTGGTTACCCTGTCTGGCGTTCAGGATAAAACAAGGATAAAAAGAGGATAAAACCAGGACTGGTTGGCTCGGAGTCAATACTGCATGGTATCTTAGTGGGCTAGCACTATAAAACCGGCATTCCTTCCGACTAGTACAAGCAGCCACGCGCGCACGCACGCACGCACGCACACACACACACACACACACACACACACACACACACACACACACACACACACACACACAAGACACACGTGCATGCATGAGTGCAATAATCTTAAACGCGACGTTAAACCCCATTTCACCTCCTCCCTATTGTATAGGTTTTCTGACACAACACCAAGAAATAGTGTAACACTGCCGACATCGGACTGCAGAGCGTTCGCTCGTCACACCGATGACCCAGGTTCGGTTCCCCATATGGGTACAATGGGCTCATTTCTGTTGTCCTCGACGTGATATTGTTGGAATATTGATGAAAGCGGCACAAAACCACACTCACTCAATTGCGTTGGAGTGAGTGAGTGAGTTGGGTTTAACGCCGCTTTTAACAGTATTCCAGTTATATCGCGGCGTGTCAGCTTAATGTGGAAGGAAAGCCCGAAGTGATCCAGGTCTCAGACGTTTACCACTTCGGCGAAACCCACGAGCACGGGTATGGTGCTGACAAACTTAGAAACATAATCGGGGCGAACCCAGATTCGAACCCACAATCATAGGTTTCTGGCGTGTCCAAGGGACGCAACTCTGCACAGCGAAACCCGGCGCCTTAGACGACTGGGCCACCCGTGCCCGCCCGCCACTTGCGTTGGAATGAATTCTTTTGTAGAAATAAAAGTAAAATCTCCAGCCTGTCATTCCGATATTAAAGCTTTCGTGCACACACTGGATAATTATTCAGTTGAATATACAGTTATTTCTTCACAGGAACCTCATTCCACCCTACAGCGCAAAGTCTGAAAATAAGTGATCTCTCGTGCCCTAGCAACACGTGCATGAATGTACAGGGTCGAAACACAGGATATCAGCCTATCACGCGTATGAATTTGATTATCACGATAAGCAATTAACATCCGTTATATTTCTTTTTCTGTGACTTCCCAAACCATTACGCAAGAAATGAGAGGTCGGTAGATACAATAACAGCAGGATGATCGCGAATTGCGTGGTGTTGCGAGGCCGCGAAACCGGAACTCGTTTGTTGTGACAACAGCTCCGCACTCACGGAGGCCATTTTGCCGCGCCTGCGTAACCGTGCTTGAAGCTCGCCTCAGCTGTATTTACAATGCATGATCATGCATTAATGATTGATTTATCCTATAAATCTTGTTGCCTTTCAATTAAATATCATCCACGCAAAATGAGATTGGTCGTCCCCTGGCTTCCAATCTCTCTCGGCCGCTCAACAAATACGCGCGTTGCTTGCGACCCCGTTCTGCCAATCTAGACAACAAATAAAATGTCGCTCGCGGCCACTAAGTGATTGGGTGGATAGAGATACGGAAGTGGCTAATAATGCCACGAGAGTTCCCGATAGAACTTTATTATTGGACCAACACGCAGTCCCTGTGATATGGAAAATAGTAAAGAGAGTTAATAAAACGAGGATGTTTTTTTTTAATGGAAAGGAGCCTTGAAATGTCTTTGATCAATGACCGAGTGATGTAGAGTTGTATCACATAGGACGCTAGGAATTACACAGTACAACCTCGTTAATCCGGAAAATACCCATTCCGGACGATTTATTTTGGAATTTTGGAATTTCTAATGTCCATGGGAATACCGATGATTCGTTGCGGACAATGGGAAGGTGATTTCCAGCTAAACAGGAATGTCTTTGTCTACTCTCCAGAACAGAGAGGTGTCCCAGTCTCTCTCACCACACCCGGTCCTAGACTGACCTCGTCCACGTTTACGCTGACGTCATCCATTTTCACATTCACCTCGTCCACTTTCTATCACCTCACTCACCTCACCCACTTTTACACTCACTTCACCCACTCTTTCACTCACCTCACCCACTTTTACACCCACCTCACCTACTCTCACCTCACTCACTTTTACACCCACCTCACCTCACCCACTCTTTCACTCACCTCACCCACTTTAACACCCACCTAACCTACTCTCACATCACTCACTTTTACACCCACCTCACCTCACCCACTCTTTCACTCACCTCACACACTTTTACACCCACCTCACCTACTCTCACCTCACCCACTTTTACACCCACCTCACCTCACCCACCTTTTCACTCACCTCACCCACTTTAACACCCACCTCACCTCACCCACTTTAACACCCACCTAACCTACTCTCACATCACTCACTTTTACACCCACCTCACCTCACCCACTCTTTCACTCACCTCACACACTTTTACACCCACCTCACCTACTCTCACCTCACCCACTTTTACACCCACCTCACCTCACCCACCTTTTCACTCACCTCACCCACTTTAACACCCACCTCACCTCACCCACTCTTTCACTCACCTCACACACTTTTACACCCACCTCACCTACTCTCACCTCACCCACTTTTACACCCACTCTCACCTCACCCACCTTTACACCCACCTCCCCTCACCTACTTTTACACTCACCCTACCCATTCTTTCTACCCACTATCATTCTCACCTCACCAACTCACCTCACCCACGCTCACTTTACCCACCTCACCCATCCCTAGTGCCTTGGTAATACGTCATTTACGTAATGAACCCGTGCTTTTACGCATGCACCTGATATTAATTAGAAAGAATGGTTGTGAACTTCGAACCTTCATTAAGACAGGAACAGAACAGCATTAAAACTTGAGGGGTGAAAGTATCCCTGTGTAAGCTAGTCAAAGATGATCTGAACGGCACAGGTGTCCGTGGATCACGTGATGTATGACGTAGTATCACGCCCGGGTTCGATTCCCCACATTGTGCACGTTGTGAAGCCAAACGATGTCCTCGCCTACATGTGGCTGCTACACTGGGCATAGACAGATACTACTCACTCACTCACCAAGATCTGATCCGATGTCAACTGAATAAAGGATTTCCTTCAAATCGTGGATCTATCATTAACAATCAAGTAGGTCGCAACAATATTTCATTAAAACTCTAGCCTTGAGCAGCTTGGAAACGGTTCCCTCTGTGAAGCCTATCCCCAACAATGTCGCTAGCTATCCGCCCGACCTCTTATGGCAGAGTAATATCCGCCTCGACTCCGACGAGCGTCCGGCGCGCTCCGAATTGCTTCTCTTATCCGAGTGAATGCGCAAATAAAGCCGTGCTCTGTCCTCCATTAATTAGTCGGCGAGGGCCGGACTCCGTTCCACAAAACCCATCCCGAGATGCGCATCCAGCAGACGACGAACCCGAGCAGACGACAATGCAATAACAGACGATGGCCAATATAATGAAAGTTGTGCCGCAATACGGGGCTATTCTGGCACGATGATCATTTTAATTTCGAAAGTAAGCATTAAACATACATAGTATGACATCTTAGTATACGTAGTAAGTCGTCGCGGAGTGATCCCAGGGGTGTTGGTGTGAAAAGGCCGTCAAAAGGCAGCACTGCGTATCGATCGGCTCGTACATCCTGCAGTCAGAGGTCATCAGAGAAAAGGTCAAGTCGTCTGTGAGAGTTAGATGCAGTCATCCGTGTTTTTATCATTGTCATCAAACTGATTAAAACGTCACATAATGTATCTTCAAATACCAGCAATAGCACCCCACCTTAATAAACCGTCTATATCAGGCAACCTTCAATGACCTTGAGTAAAATGCTGTCATCGTCTAGCTTTCCAGGAGGTCAGACGTCTGTCCGGTGCACGAGTGAGTGAATTTACATTTATATTCATATATCTATATAATATTATATTATATTTACTTACATACAGTTTACAAATTGCGGAAGCATGTCAGGACGTGGAACATAAAAGGAAGATAGATACACTGATGGCCCAATTGTCAAAGAAACTGAATTTATTGAGTTGCATCCCTTTCGTGCACCAGAATCTGATTATTCATACCCGTGCTCGTTTCACCGACGTGGTACACGTCTTAGACCAGCATCACTTCGTGCTTTGTGGCCACATGCGCCGTGATAGAACTAAATATTGTTAAAAGTGGCATTAAACCAAACTTACTCTGTTTGATCAAGCCTCTCCGTAGCTGGACAACGAACTGTTGACCCGTGAAGATTCCGGGGTAGAATAGGTCTTCAGCAACCCATGCTTGCCATAAAAGGCGACTATGCTTGTCGTAAAAGGCGACTAACGGAATCGGATGGTCAGGCTCGCTGAATTGGTTGATACATGTCATCGATCCCAATTGCGTGGATCGATGCTCATGATGTCAATCACTGGATTGTCTGATCCAGACTCGATTATTTTACAGACCGCCGTCATATAGCTGGAATGTTGCTGAGTGCGGCGTTAAACCACAAGCAAACAAAACGTATTGTTGGGACAATGGAGTCCTGAGTCCTTGTTCCTGAGTAGACACATAATTCCGGGTTTGAATTCTTACACGAGAACACGAACGCCTAGCCCCTAGACCTCGGGTCACAGACAATGCAGAATCTCCAGGTATCCTTGATTAATGTCTCAAATCCAGCAAAATGTGAGTGAGTGAGTGAGTTTGGATCAACGTCCCTTCCAATGATATTCGTTAGGTTCGTGGTGTGGCGCCCGGGAGGAAGGCCGTCAGTGTTTGTAGAATATGGATATAGTGACGACAGGTCAAGGGGCATAATCGGGGGAAATCTTGGGCTCGAACCACGGCCAGTGGAACCTGTCAAACACACAGCTTTACAGTGCACCATGCCCCCAACCTCTGGTATGAGTGGATCTCCCCACTGCACCATGCCCCCAGTCTCCGGTGTGTGTGGATCTCCCCACTACACCATGCCCCCAAACTCGAATGTGAGAGGATCTCCCCACTACACCATTCCTCCAGTCTCCGGTGTGAGTGGATCTCCCCACTACACCATGCCCCCCAATCTCCGGTGTGAGTGGATCTACCCAATGCACCATGCCCCAAGTCTCCGTTGTGAGTGGATCTCCCCACTACACCATGCCTCCAATCTCAGGTGTGAGTGGAGCTCCCCAATGCACCATGCCCCCAATCTCAGGTGTGAGTGGGTCTCCCCACTTCACCATGCCTCCAATCTCAGGTGTGAGTGGATCTCCCCACTTCACTATGCCTCCAATCTCAGGTGTGAGTGGATCTCCCCAATGCACAATGCCTCGAATCTCCGGTGTGAGTGGATCTCCCCACTTCACCATGCCTCCAGTCTCCGGTGTGAGTGGATCTCTCCACTACACCATGCCTCCAGTCTCCGGTGTGAGTGGATCTCTCCACTTCACCATGCCTCCAGTCTCCGGTGTGAGTGGATCTCCCCACTTCACCATGCCTCCAGTCTCCGGTGTGAGTGGATCTCTCCACTACACCATGCCCCGAATCTCCGGTGTGAGTGGATCTCCCCACTGCACCATGCCCCCAGTGTGAGTGGATCTCCCCACTACACCATGCCCCCAGTCTCCGATGTGAGTGGATCTCCCCACTACACCTTGCCCCCAGTCTCCGATGTGAGTGGATCTCTGCAGTGCACCATGCCCCCAATTTCCGGTGTGAGTGGATCTCCCCACTACACCATGTCCCCAATCTCCAGTGTGAGTGGATCTCTGCAGTGCACCATGCCCCCAATCTCCGGTGTGAGTGGATCTCTGCAGTGCACCATGCCCCCAATTTTCGGTGTGAGTGGATCTCCCCACCATGCCCCCAATATCCCGTGTGAGTGGATCTCCCCACTACTCCATGTCCCCAATATCCGATGTGAGTGGATCTCTGCAGTGCACCATGCCCCCAATCTCCGATGTGAGTGGATCTCTGCAGTGCACCATGCCCCCAGTCTCCAGTGTAGGTGGATCTCTCCTATTCACCATGCCCCCAGTCTCCAGTGTGAGTGGATCTCTCCTATTCACCATGTCCCCAATCTCCGGTGTGAGTGGATCTCTCCACTGCACCATGCCCCCAGTCTCTGGTGTGAGTGGATCTCCCCACTGCCCCATGCCCCCAGTCTCCGGTGTGAGGAGATCTCCCCACTGCACCATGCCCCCAGTCTCCGATGTGAGTGGATCTCCCCACTACACCATGCCCCCAGTCTCCGGTGTGAGTGGATCTCCCCACTACACCATGCCCCCAGTCTCTGGTGTGAGTGGATCTCTCCACTGCACCATGCCCCAAGTCTCCGGTGTGAGGAGATCTCCCCACTGCACCATGCCCCCAGTCTCCGATGTGAGTGGATCTCTGCAGTGCACCATGCCCCCAGTCTCCAGTGTGAGTGGATCTCTGCAGTGCACCATGCCTCCAGTCTCCAGTGTGAGTGGATCTCTGCAGTGCACCATGCCCCCAGTCTCCGGTGTGAGTGGATCTCTGCAGTGCACCATGCCCCCAGTCTCCAGTGTGAGTGGATCTCTGCAGTGCACCATGCCTCCAGTCTCCAGTGTGAGTGGATCTCTCCACTACACCATGCCCCCAGTCTCCGGTGTGAGTGGATCTCCCACTACACTATGCCCCCAGTCTCCGGTGTGAGTGGATCTCTCCACTGCACCATGCCCCTAGTCTCTGGTGTGAGTGGATCTCCCCACTGCACCATGCCCCTAGTCTCTCGTGTGAGTGGATCTGCCCACTACACCATGCCCCCAGTCTCCGGTGTGAGTAGATCTCTGTACTACACCATGCCCCCAGTCTCCGGTGTGAGTGGATCTGCCCACTGCACCATGCCCCCAGTCTCCGGTGTGAGTGGATCTCCCCACTACACCATGCCCCCAGTCTCCGGTGTGAGTAGATCTCTGCAGTGCACCATGCCCCCAGTCTCCGGTGTGAGTGGATCTCCCCACTACACCATGCCCCCAGTCTCCGGTGTGAGTAGATCTCTGCAGTGCACCATGCCCCCAGTCTCCGGTGTGAGTGGATCTCTGCAGTGCACCATGCCTCCAGTCTCCGATGTGAGTGGATCTTGGCAGTGCACCATGCCCCCAGTCTCCGGTGTGAGTGGATCTCTCCACTGCACCATGCCCCCAGTCTCCAGTGTGAGTGGATCTCTCCACTACACCATGCACCCAGTCTCCGGTGTGAGTGGATCTCCCACTACACCATGCCCCCAGTGTGAGTGGATCTCCCACTACACCATGCCCCCAGTCTCCCGTGTGAGTGGATCTCTCCACTACACCATGCCCCCAGTCTCCGGTGTGAGTGGATCTCCCACTGCACCATGCCCCCAGTGTGACAGGATCTCCCACTACACCATGCCCCCAGTCTCCCGTGTGAGTGGATCTTGGCTATGTACATAAGGTGGAGACAAACACGTCAGGCCAACAAGGAGCTGGCGTCCATATACGCCTCAACATTCATTAACGCCAGAATAGGGGTTCATTTTATATATCTGTAACCGCCTATCAACCAACCCATCCCTGATGTGAGATGACCCTACTCACTGCTTATATGCGTTTATCAACATTTCCATCTCCGATGTTAACGGGTTTATGATATACATTCCTGTATCTATCAACATTTCCGCCTACGATGCGAGTAGGTTTCCAATATGCACGTACATGCACATACGACATACTGTTTCTGTCAGTACATCCGGGCTGAATGGGTTTAGATTAATGATCTACCCATTTGTGCATATCAACATGTTCACCTTCCCTGGTGGGGCACAATATACCCGTATGTGTCTATCAACATCTCCGTGTTCAATGTGGTCATGATATACACGCATGTGTCTATCAACATCTCCGTCTTCAGTGTCTGGTCATGATATACCCGCACGTGTCTATCAACATATCCGTCTTCACTGGTGGGGCACAATATACCCGCACGTGTCTATCCACATGTCCGTGTTCAATGTGGTCATGATCTACCCGTATGTGTCTATCCACATGTCCGTGTCCAATGTGGTCATGATCTACCCGTATGTGTCTATCCACATGTCAGTGTCCAATGTGGTCATGATCTACCCGTATGTGTCCATCCACATGTCCGTGTTCAATGTGGTCATATATACCCGTATGTGTCTAACCACATGTCAGTGTTCAATGTGGTCATGATCTACCCGTATGTATCTATCCACATGTCCGTGTTCAATGTGGTCATGATCCACCCGTATGTGTCTATCAACATGTCCGTGTTCAATGTGGTCATGATATAACCGTATGTGTCTATCAACATGTCAGTGTTCAATGTGGTCATGATATACCCGTATGTGTCTATCAACATGTCCGTGTTCAATGTGGTCATGATCTACCCGTATGTGTCTATCAACATGTCCGTGTTCAATGTGGTCATGATATAAGCGTATGTGTCTATCAACATGTCAGTGTTCAATGTGGTCATGATATACCCGTATGTGTCTATCAACATGTCCGTGTTCAATGTGGTCATGATCTACCCGTATGTGTCTATCCACATGTCCGTGTTCACAGGTGGGGTCATGATCTACCCGTATGTGTCTATCCACATGTCCGTCTTCAGTGGTGGGGCACAATATACCCGTATGTGTCTATCAACATGTCCGTGTTCACTGGTGGGGCACAATATACCCGTATGTGTCTAACATCATGACCGTCTTCAATGTGGGGCACAATATACCCATATGTGTCTCACAACATGTCCGGGTTCAATGTGGTCATGGTCTACCCGTATGTGTCTATCCACATGTCCGTCTTCACTGGTGGGGCACAATATACCCGTATGTGTCTAACAACATGTCCGTCTTCAATGTGGGGCACAATATACCCGTATGTGTCTATCAACATGTCCGTGTTCAATGTGGTCATGATCTACCCGTATGTGTCTATCCACATGTCCGTCTTCAGTGGTGGGGCACAATATACCCGTATGTGTCTATCAACATGTCCGTGTTCACTGGTGGGGCACAATATACCCGTATGTGTCTAACAACATGTACGTCTTCAATGTAGGGCACAATATACCCGTATGTGTCTAACATCATGACCGTCTTCAATGTGGGGCACAATATACCCGTATGTGTCTCACAACATGTCCGTGTTCAATGTGGTCATGGTCTACCCGTATGTGTCTATCCACATGTCCGTCTTCACTGGTGGGGCACAATATACCCGTATGTGTCTAACAACATGTCCGTGTTCAATGTGGTCATGGTCTACCCGTATGTGTCTATCCACATGTCCGTGTTCACTGGTGGGGCACAATATACCCGTATGTGTCTATCCACATGTCCGTGTTCACTGGTGGGGCACAATATACCCGTATGTGTCTATCCACATGTCCGTCTTCACTGGTGGGGCACAATATACCCGTATGTGTCTGTCCACATGTCCGTGTTCAGTGGTGGGGCACAATATACCCGTATGTGTCTGTCCACATGTCCGTGTTCAGTGGTGGGGCACAATATACCCGTATGTGTCTAACAACATGTCCGTGTTCAATGTGGGGCACAATATACCCGTATGTGTCTATCCACATGTCCGTGTTCACTGGTGGGGCACAACATACCCATATGTGTCTAACAACATGTCCGTCTTCAATGTGGTCATGATCTACCCGTATGTGTCTATCAACATGTCCGTGTTCACAGGTGGGGTCATGGTCTACCCGTATGTGTCTATCCACATGTCCGTGTTCACTGGTGGGGCACAATATACCCGTATGTGTCTATCCACATGTCCGTGTTCACTGGTGGGGCACAATATACCCGTATGTGTCTAACAACATGTCCGTCTTCAATGTAGGGCACAATATACCCGTATGTGTCTATCAACATGTCCGTGTTCAATGTGGGGCACAATATACCCGTATGTGTCTATCCACATGTCTGTGTTCAATGTGGGGCACAATATACCCGTATGTGTCTATCCACATGTCCGTGTTCACTGGTGGGGCACAATATACCCGTATGTGTCTATCAACATGTCCGTGTTCACTGGTGGGGCACAATATACCCGTATGTGTCTATCAACATGTCCGTGTTCACTGGTGGGGCACAATATACCCGTATGTGTCTATCCACCTGTCCTTGTTCAATGTGGTCATGATCTACCCGTATGTGTCTATCCACATGTCCGTGTTCACAGGTGGGGTCATGGTCTACCCGTATGTGTATATCAACATGTCCGTCTTCACTGGTGGGGCACAATATACCCGTATGTGTCTAACATCATGACCGTCTTCCATGTGGGGCACAATATACCCGTATGTGTCTATCAACATGTCAGTGTTCAATGTGGTCATGATCTACCCGTATGTGTCTATCCACATGTCCTTGTTCACAGGTGGGGTCATGGTCTACCCGTATGTGTCTATCCACATGTCCGTCTTCACCGGTGGGGCACAATATACCCGTATGTGTCTAACAACATGTCCGTCTTCAATGTAGGGCACAATATACCCGTATGTGTATATCAACATGTCAGTGTTCAATGTGGTCATGATCTACCTGTATGTGTCTATCCACATGTCCGTGTTCACAGGTGGGGTCATGGTCTACCCGTATGTGTCTATCAACATGTCCGTGTTCACTGGTGGGGCACAATATACCCGTATGTGTCTATCCACATGTCCGTGTTCACTGGTTGGGCACAGTATACCCGTATGTGTCTAACATCATGTCCGTCTTCAATGTGGGGTACAATATACCCGTATGTCTATCAACATGTCCGTGTTCACTGGTGGGGAAGAATATATCCGCATATGTCTATGAAAGTATAATTTACCCGGTTTGGGCTTGACATTGTCCTTCCCTTGGGGGTACATATATGAATGTGCGCGTGTATCTGGTTTTTCTAAATAGTATGTCTTAAATACAAATAAACGACATGTTTCAATGACATTTAAAAGTACAACCTGAAGCACATAAATACGTCCTGACTGTCCCAAAGAACAGCAGAGCATATACGATTACCATGGTTACTGAGGCCCGAGGGGTCGAAGGTCACGTTTACTTAGCCCTGCTGTCCGCTGATTGGTCGAGTTCACTATCCGGGCGCAGTTTGGCGTAACAAGATTATAAATGCAATTCGTTCCCAGTGAACAGGTATGACTACTCGAATGCTAGGTCCAAGTTTCCATTTCATCCCCGTTATAGGGCTGTATTCGGTAGACGTGTCAGCCCGGCTGATGAAATCCGAGTGTGGTAACCATACCCGTGGTTGGCGAAGCGGCAATACAGCTCAATCATTGCAGTCGATAAGGTCAATAAAAACATAAGCCAGTCTTGTATTCGATTTGTTGTATTCATATCAGAACAATACGGATAAAAATATACACAATTACCGTCGCCACCCAACATCGAACAGTCGGACTGGTCGACAGATTCGGGTGACGGCTGACAAATGATCGCAGGCTGTACACAATAACAGTTGTCGTTAGGCGAGCAGCAGCGGGGCGGGCTAAAACCCACGACAAATAAAAAACATATATTAACGTACAAGAGTTGAATACGCAGCGCCGATTTACCCACATGATTTGATTGAAGAGGTCGCTGGCAATGCTGTTGTCTCGCTACGTAAATTCAGTTCTTTACCATGACCATTTACAGAGTTCAGGGAATATATATATTTGCATCTGCACTTAATTTGCATAAAATACAATTTGCCATTTGTGACACCGTGTTGATACATCAACGCCATCATAATGCATTCAAGGAGACGCCACGTCAGACCACTCTGAAGACAGATTTTACGATTTAACAAACTCAAATATTTAACAGCCACAGCCCGGTGAAGCCCTCATCATGAAGTCAGGACAATCTTTTACTACTAATCGCGATATGGCTTCAGTATTGCCATTGTGATGTAAAATTTTAACTCACTCACTCACTTGACCTGTGATACTGATGCAGTAGTTTGATTGGTAGACACGCACCTCTGAACTAAATGAAGCACTTCCGCCATCACGATGAAGAATTGAGATGAAGGTTAAAACATGGTGAAGGTCGCAATGACATGGGTGAGTGTATGATACATGAATTCGCCCGACGTCGAGGATCCACGCTCTGACCCTCTCGGCTCAAACATATTGTCGGATGAAGGAATATTTGACCCCTCTTCGCGACGCCAGGGATTCCAGATCGAGTGGTAAAGCATACCTTTACATAACAGAGACTGTAGATGTTCAAAGGCCTGGTTATTTCGACAAGCCTGGGTTTTCACGTTTACAAATGATGATGTCAGTGTTTGGAGTTGTAACGTGGTTACAGACTATTGTCAGACCTCTCTTACACACAGCAACGTTTCCACATTGTTGGCGGTCAGAACTACAAGGAAAATGGAGGGAGAGAGACTGAGGGTGACGGGTAAACTGAGATTGACGGGTAAACTGAGATTGACGGGTAAACTGAGGGTGACGGGTAAACTGAGGGTGACGGGTAAACTGTGGATGAAGGGTAAACTCTGGGTGACGGGTAAACTGGGTGACGGGTAAACTGAGGGTGACAGCTAAACTGTGGATGAAGGGTAAACTGTGGGTGAAGGGTAAACTGAGATTGACGGGTAAACTGTGGGTGAAGGGTAAACTGAGGGTGACGGGTAAACTGAGGGTGACAGGGTGGTGGTATGGACTTGGTGTGGAAGTTTGAAGTTATTTGATTGGACTGAACAACTAAGAGTGCTTAAGTGAGTGGTATGAGTGTGATGCTCTTTGAACAATATTTAAGTTTTATCACGGCGCAAAGGCTTAATGAGAGGTGAAAAGGTCACAGTCAGGATGAATCTGGATTGGAAACCGCGATCATCGGATCCGGAGACGCCCAAGGGACGCAACTCTACAGTGAACTGTCGCGCTTAGACGATAGGACCATTCTACCCATTTATACTTTTTTATCGGTCGGATAATGCATTCCAAAAACTTTTTAGGTTCTTTGAAAATGATAAAAATGTATAGATACTGATAAAACTTTACCATTGACCAGTTAAGTTTGGTCACACAGGTAATGTATACCACGTTCGCGCCTAGAGCCACACACTTCACCGTACAAGATAGCTAATGTCATTTACAAATAACTTAGGGTCATTTAAGATGAATATCCTCTCATAAATTGATAAAATTCACAGAAATGTCACCGGCCTCGTGCTCAATACCCCTCCCAGCCTGCCCCCTACGTCGGTTCATTCCCTGCTGTGTGTGCTCAACTTTGCCAGTACTTATTGACCGATGTTCAAGCTCCGGCGATGATGTATACCTGGCTAATAGTTTCCTGAAACACTAACCACGGCGTTATCATTGGTGTAATATTAAAAACATAACATTCCCACTATGAAAGTCAATAAAACCCGCCGTTAATTCTCAATACAGATTCGGTGGCAAGGTTGACCTAGGCCCCCTCATATTAATAGACTCGGCCGGTTGTTGGAGCGGTTTTCCACACGACGTATAACGCACGAGTCGGACACGGTTTGCTGCAGTTGAAACTGGTTGTTGATGATTGTTGGTGACCGTCTTCACTCTCACTCAACACGACTTGGGCTGGACGAGTACAATCGATGTAAACAAGTCATGTAGGTCAACCCGTGACCTCATAGCCGGAAGCAGCACGCAGAGGGATTCTCCTCACACAAACATACTGCTTTCCTATCGCCTAGTGTTAGAGTAGGCGCCTGGGTGCGATCCCGTGACGTCACGCGGGAGAATTGTGTCACCGACAATAGACAGGTCGGCTGATTGTCTCAGTTCACTGTAGGCGTCATTCGGAGCCGACCTCCGTCTGATTGATCCGGCGCGATCAGTTTGGCCAAACACAGATAGAGTGAGCGCTTCCCGACTGCGAGTGCAAGCCAGGCCGCGGGACAGTGGTGGCGACACAGCAGTGTGCTTGCTGACAACTAGGTCGCTAGGCCACAGACGAGCCCCAGGTTATAAAAGCTGCTTGACGGACACCCCTAAAGTTATCCAAGCACCGGGTGTCTGATATCAAATCCCGTGACCACAACATCTGCCATAGCACACGGTGTCACATATCTATCAAGGAGTCTTTCATATTCACCTAAACGCCGCCCTGACACCAGGTGTCGGGCATCCAGACACCCATTCAAATCCCAACCTCAACACAACTACTTTTTATTCCAAAATACTGTTTGCGCGTGTATGGGATTGGGGTGTTCAGTCCCTATTACTGTCTGGGCATACAACTTCTTTCTCTGTGTACTGGTATTTGTTGACGGTATCTAGAAGTCAGTAACAAATACACTACCGTTGTGTCTGAACTTACATTAAAACTCCCTGATTAGAATAGACTCGCTGGCGGGTCCAGAGAGAGGTTCCCAGCCACACCCTTCTCCAGAGAGGTTGCACGCCAACCCATCTTGCATATATTCACTCCGAGACTTGGGTCAAGTGCGCTCCCTCCCCTCACCCCAAACCTATTTCAAAATCATGAATCCCCTTTATAAATTCATAATATAAAACAAAAAGTTATCTTTCAAAACGATTCAATATTTGTGACACCGAACAAGGACGGCGGAAGGGGGTGTGTTCCAGGCATCCTATAGCCCTGTCTTCATCCCAGGTGGTGTTCCGTGGCTTCAGCACGCGGGCCATGCAAGTGCGTCACTCATCCACCGCAACCACCTTCCCTCCGGAGGGGATGTTTCTGAGTCGTAATATCAGCCCTACGTCACAGTGCCTGCAGTAATGTGGCATTTCAGCCCGGCTCCCGGTCTACCTGCTACATGTGAAATACATTTACACAAACTTGCGCTCGGTTTAATATGACTCATCATACCGCGAAGGTAGTCGGGTTTTTAGACTGTAATTACCCAATTTCCGACAGAAATGAAAGTGTCATTAGATAAACTCCCGCCCCCTCCCCCTGTCCCCCTCCACGTGCTATATGCACTATTCCAGTTTGCATTGACGTATATACTCCACTAGACAAATTTGCCTCACCAGTAAAATAAATCAGCCTTTTGACAGTCAGTCAATTGTTTTTATATTCAAGTGAGAGAGTCGGGTCATTATCGTTCCTGCTTCGCTAATTACTTACTTTATTAGCCTAGGGAGTAATGTAATCAACGAGGAACTGCCAAATGACATTTTTTGCGAAAAAATCAATTCGTCTGTCTGGTTTCTAGAATATGTCCAGTCCATTCTCAGAATTAATCTGCGAGGTGAACTTGTGTAATTCCGAACGCGAGACTGTCTGAGGCGCGAGTTTCTCAATAGACGGTGTCAGTTGTGTCAGCCGCCGAATGAGGCTCACTGTGGCCGATAAGCGAGTGAAGGTAGTCGTTATGAGTACAGTATATACACGGCTGACAGATCAGTGTTCACTTTGGACTCAACGTCTAATGTACGAGGACTGGTCCTGCCGAGCATCACCGCAGCATAAACAAATCAATAAAATTCAGCATAACACGCTTGGCTGGGTATTTGGTGTAACCGAGTTCGGAGGCAGTTAACGAACTGAGCAGAGCCGGTGACATTGCTGCTGAAGACGAGGTTGACGCGCATCATTAAGTGCATGCTTTCAAGTCTTTCGGAACTCATTGAAAATAAACAAAATACAAGCTTTTTAGTTCAATATTTCCCCCGTTGATAATGTTGGTGATACATTAAAAAATAGAAATTATGAAAAGGGACACATTTGAACAATTTCATTTCGGCAAGGTGAAGTTGATACGTTGGTGACCACTAACGCCATGATATGAGTAGGGATACGCTTCTTCAAGGGTTTGCAATGAGTTTTGGACAAAGATGCTGATTAATCGAATATGTAACGATACATCTTTCATAACATGCCGGTCAGGGGTACATTACTTCCGGTTTAGAGACTACACGTAGCCTCAAACCCGTCGTTGCCATGGTGATGTCATCCGGTACTTCACCATCGTTTTCTATATACGCAAGTATACAAGACTACACCTATATTTTACCCTTGGTAGAACCGGAGACCTTGACTTACACCAGCCAGGGTCAGTCCATAACGTATGACAGGGGTGGGGTTACATGTGTGATATATACTCGTGGTCGACAACAGATGTGGCGTAGAGAAATATAGTACCTTTTGATTTAATCAAATCAAGCGTCAATTTGCTATGATGGCGCCCGAAGGCATCCTATGCTTGGTTGCGACCAGCCTAGCTGCTTGTTCCACTGTTGCGGGTGGAAGCACATACCACTGTTGGTGGAGTAAGACGCGGGATGGGATCCCCTGCCCTGCATATCCCGGTTGCTAGTGGCGCACGCGAGATGTGGGGCGGACTGGCGATATGAGATTCAATACTGATTAATAAATGATACCCCCATAAGCGATAACAGTGGTGCTTGGCGGCCTGCATGGGATAAAGACGTGAATAAGCGTTCTTTGCTGTACCCTCAGATACTCCAGCACAATAACTGGACTTCTAGCATTGTTACACGGACAAAGCCTTTGAAAATTTGAATTTTTTTTTTTCAATTAGCTTAATTGTCAATAAAAGCAGATAGATCACTTGTCAGTTCAAATTTAACAACAGCTTGATACTCGAGATAAAAAATAACATTAAACAGCTTTTACGAATCAATGAATATCTAACGTTCCTGTCATGATAGGTTAACGTGTGTAAAGGGTGTGAATAAACCACCGCCAGGGGTCGTGTTGGAGTAAGAGTTGGTGTTAGTTGCCAGGTAAACAGTACAGAAACAGCAGCTAGACTTCGCTCGCAGGAATGATAATACATGTTGGTAACACGATTGATAGCGATGTGGGTACTTGAGTTTGTGTCTTGTTGAGAATCGAACAAATAAATGAAAACTAACAGCCACAGCCATTTTGTCAGATTTTGCATTCAAGTTTTTTCTTGATAACAAATGGCAAATACATTTACACCAACCCCGACGAGGTACTTTGGTGTTTTAAACAAATGTCCGTAAACCTGTAACATATAGAACACTTCCACTTCGTTAGTTGGAATATATATTTATACTTGACATCACGCATTTCACCCAAACCTTGTGTATTTAAAGGCATTTGTAAGAGGTATGCAGATTTACGCGTCAAAAGGAAATCGACTGGATTGTGAACGTCATCATCATGTCGTTGAGGTTGTCGGAACAGAACTTCATGTAACCACAAGTCATGTAGACTGTTTTATGTCAACAATTCCATTAATGTCGATTTGGAAATAATCTCAACTTGAGATTCGACACTATTCAACATGATGACAGTTACCGTTAAAATAAATACTCACTACATTAAAACCTAGTGAGTGTTACAAGGGAAACGTCCCGCTAACACTGTCAGCAGCGGCCGTCCCGAGCCTAATGTAGGGTCCTGACAAGTATACTCTCCCCGTTACAACACGAAAGGGCCTGGGTAGAGTTGTTGATAACAGGCCTGTTTGAAATTGGCGTGACATATTTATAGCTTTCGTGTGATTTGATATTGATATTTCGTGGATCCCTGCTTACATCGCTTGACTGAACCTGATTGAAATGTCAAGGTTCAATTCGATAGGTTTTGATATACGGCCGCAAATATCTCAAATCGATCGAGGATAAGCACGATGGATTGCCATATTAGTGTTTGACTGGGAAAAGAGTGCTAGTTCACATTCATTTTCAATCTCAACAAGACATAAGGATGCAATAAGTCAATATATTCATCAAATACAAAAATAATTTGATTAAACCAATCTAAAATGTATGTCATCTATTTGAGCTACTGATTCCGGACCGCCCGTCCAAGGTATTAGCGTCCTCGAGATACTATTTGCTACAAAACTAGTTCACTGTGAAGCACAGATGTCCGCGCCAAGAACTAACCTCGGCAGAATGACTTGGAGTAAGTAAATCCAATATGGCGTCATCCGCCATCTTGAGATCGTCAGCAGTGTCTGTTACCATGGTTACCGAGCTATGGTCCCTGAAAACCTCGGAAATACACAGAAGCGGGTTCAGATGATGTCCGAACTATAGTTCATGCAGTAAGTCCTGCGACGCCATAACACCATGCACGTGAATGCGTCCGTCACGTGTCCAAGTATCACTTCTCAAAAGAGCGACATCACTAGTCCTTGTCACTCTGCGTCCTGCGTTGCTGAGGATGTACGTAGCACAAGATGCCATACTCCCTAGACTATCCACAATATCCGAGACCCGCTCACGCCGCCCGTCAGGCCAGCGAAGCGGAGAAAGACACACACGAGGTAGATAATGATGATGGCCGTGTACTCAACACAGGGGGTGTCATGTACGATCGTCCAGCGTTACACAATGCGTCCTCCCAACAAGGTTTGCGTATGATGAAAACATCACATTCAACGCCATCGTGCCAAGTCGCTAAGTCACGTCAGCACTCAAGATTCACAATCGTGGCTGATTTTTGCAATCACAAATAGTGAATTCCGTGTATGTACATATACACATTGTGGAACGACTGGCGGTATTTGCACTGGAACAAATCCTTCCACACACACTTCTATGTGTCAAATATACAGATCCTGTTCCCGGCAAGGTGGTATCATTGCTTACCCAGAATTTCGTCAAGCAAATTAAAATTGTCACCTTGCACTATGCTATCAAAGAAATCTGGGCTTGTATTGTGAGCATTGTCTAAATAGTTCATGAAATCGTCCTGCGTGGACCCCGTGGCGGGATAACCAGATTGTCCTTGGGTAGCACTTGTTGGAACACCCCCTGACGGCACGGCACCTGACATCACTGACGACGACATGTTATAGGCGGCAGTGGTCTGGGAGTTGGGGGCAGCGCCTGGCCTCATCGTGACTCTCTGGGCCATCTGCTGTTGCATCATCACCTGGCTGCCATTTTGCATCATGGCCGCCTGACTGGGCGGCATGGAGTTCATCTGTGGCCTCTGCTGTTGCTGTTGCTGTTGCTGTTGTTGTTGCATCATGCCAGTTTGGCTTGGGCCACCACTGTTTGGATAGGGTCCGTACTGCATCATGCCTGACGCAGACATAGCAGCTGCCTGAGTCATCGTCGCCTGTCCCGGATGTCTTGTTCCAGGCATCATCGGCCGCGGCCACTCTGCACTTCTTGGCTGGGAAATATTTAGGCCATCAGGCCCCACATTCACATTCGGAGGTCTCTGATTGCGCATTATTGCACTGGTATACGTTGATGTTGACTGTGACCTTGGGGCGGCCTGGGGAGGAGTGGGTCCATTGCCTGCCTGGTACTGGGGTCGCTGCATCTGCTGGCCCATCGGTCCAGGACGAGCAGGTGCCCCTCCTCCTCCCGCCACTGTGCTGGACTGCATGGACTGTATGGCAGACAGGTGAGCAGCCTGCATCATGCCATTCTGAGTCTGAGAAGATGTCACTTCACTCTTAACTGCACCATATGCAGTTTGATTCACCATGTTTTGCATCGTTCTCAGGGGATTAGGGCCCCCTCCCGCAGAAGTGCTGCCGAACTGACCACTAGCATTTGGATGCATGTGAGGTGTCGACACAGGGGGAACCTTATACTCTGGAGGAGGGCGATTCATGTACTGGGCTGGCATCTGCCCAGCTGACTGAGATTGCTGCTGCTCAATGAGGTGCAGCCTCTGTTCACGCATCTTCTCCATCTGCTGCATGTTCATCTGTTCACTCATCATCTGCGGCTGTTGCTGCTGGCTCTGCGGCGGGTGCGGCGGCGTCATCATGAAGGATTGCTGCTGTGTTAGTGAGATCTGTTGTGGTGGCTGTTGCATCTGTAGCTGCTGCGTCTGCGACAACTGCATGTGATGCTGACCATGTGACACTTGCATGTGCTGCGTTTGCGTAATCTGCATCTGCGGGTTGGGCGATTGGTTAAAATGAGTTCGCACCTGGTTCTGAAGTTGCTGAAGGGAGGACGGTTGCTGCTGCTGTTGCCCATTGCCGTGGTCCGAGAAATGTGTCAACGGTTTGGTTCCCCCATACGTCAGCATCTCCTTGTTCTGTATATGTTGCGGATACTGTGATGACTGAGCATCTGGCATATGTGACTGTGGAGGAAAGGGGAAGTTCGCAGCCTGTTGGGACTGTCCCTGCTGTTGCTGTTGCTGTGGCAAGGGAGAGTACCCCTGATGCTGCTGGAAATTCACATAGCCATTACCCCTTTGGTAGTTAGGGTCACTGTAAGGGTCAATAGATGGCGATTTCATTGGGTAACCTGGACTGTGAGACTGGTTCTGGTGATGGGCTGCCATTTGTTTGAGGGTCTCAGCAGCGGGCCCAGTGCCCTCAGACATGCTAGACATAGATGGATTCCTCATAGGAGGAGGAACAACACTATTTGATTCATACATATTCAAACCACTTCCCGGCTCGGGGAAGGGTTTTGACAGACCTGGAGACTGAATAGTAGGACCGAACATATCAGTCTGTGATTCACATTGTACCTTCACATTGTCATATATCTCATCAAATTTATCAAGTTCCTTTATTATATCTGGAGGTATTTCACCCTCCTCTTTCTCCAAAGTGTCGAGGATGTTCTGAAGCTCCTCTACATCGCCAACGTCAAAGATTCTATCCTGTGAAGCCTGTGCTGACTGATTGTCAGTATGACTATGTCCGTGAGTATCTTCAGGGGGCTCCTGTTTACACTCAACGCTTGTGTGGATACTACTGACACTGGGTTTGGGGGAGTCAGCCGCCGAACTATAAGTCTTGGTACTGACTGTCACGTTTGTGTGGATTGTCTGAGTATTCTCTGGTCGGGATTTGATCTGTTGGACAATCTTCACCGACAAATGAGGCAGTTGGTTGTTGTCAATACACGAATTTCCTCCCACACTACTCTTGTTCACAGGAGATTCCTGTTCGTCAAAGTTGTATGCGCTCTCCGCGGGGTTAGGCTCGGAAGCGGTGCCGTCGATTTTCTGCTTGAGTTTTTTCTGAAACAGACGAAAAAACACTTTGACATATAGTTGAAAACAATACGATTGGGCGAGAAGATTAGAGTACACAATAACTCATCTCATTTCGTCTCTATGTCAATAAATCTGCAAGGCACTAACAGTTAAAAGCGACCACTTCTCATGAATAAGCAAGCACCAACCACGTTTCAGAGAAGAGCCGATATTAACGAAGACCGGCCTGCTTAGTCTGAAATCGTTCAATAAAATTGCTAATCAGAGTGAAGTCCCTCTCGGCTGACGCGAGCAGTCGGGGGACAATGGCTTATAATAGGGGACAGAGTGATCGCTCTTCCCCAACCAAGGTACACGGTGTCGACGAAGAAATTACTGCAATTTATCACAGCTCCCGCTAGAACTAATCTTGAAATGTACACTCGCGAGTTAATACTATAATTGACAATCTCTAGTATCATATTTTCTAGACTGCAAATAAAAGCTACAAATACTCCCTTCTTTTGATAAGAAGAGGCAGAGATACTGAGTGCGAAAACCCCCGACGACATAAACAGTCTTGACGCAGATAAAAACAGATTATTCTCGATTAACTGCAAAGCAATATTTATAAATACACTAAATCGTAACTGCTGTGCGACTAAAAACGTATCTTAAATGACAGTTCGTTGGATAACACTCATCGCATAAAAGAAGTTAAAATAAAACAGACTAAATATGGTGCTAATATACAGCTATTGTGCGATGAACACGACATATCAATCAGGTTTTCTATGTGCAAAAGGTATGCGCAGGGAGAATGATGTATTACGATAATAAATTCCCGTCTCTTATCAACGTATGAAAGATAATTCTCAAATAGCATGTGTAGAAGAAAAATCGGGCTTAGAACACCCACCGAAAGCTTGTGTCAACACAGCACCAGATCAACGCGAAATTAACTTCCAATCTTTTAAAAACAGAAAATACGTTAATTGTCGTTGAAATTACACCAGGGCGTGAGTGAGGTTTGACGCAACTTTCAGCAATGTTCCATCAAGTTGGGGTACATGCGGTTCAACGTAGCTTCTATATTAAGGTGAGTGAGTGAGCTGAGTTAAACAGGACGATAGCGAGTGTGAGTTAGTTGTTTGTTTTTTATTCAAGCCGCACTCAGCAATATCACAGCTATATGACGGCAGTCTGTAAATAATAGAGTCTGTACTAGACAAGTGATTGATATCATGAGCATCGATTCACGCAATTGGGGTACGATGACATGCATCAACCAAGTCAGCGAGCCTGACCACCCGATCCCGTTAGTCCCCTCTTACGACAAGCATAGTCGCCACTTACGACAATCAAGGTTGCTGAAGACCTACTCTAACCCGGATATTCTTGGGTGTGAGTGAGTTGAGTTTAACGTCGACGAAAGCGTGAGTGACGTGAATGAGGTCTAACGTCGCGATCAAGATTAAGGCACTCATATAGCGACATGCATGCATGCACGTGTGTGTGTGTGTGTGTGTGTGTGTGTGTGTGTGTGTGTGTGTGTGTGTGTGTGTGTGTGTGTTTGTACTAATCCAGAAAAATGCCGGATTAATTGTGCTAACCCACTCAGATACCATGCCGCAGTTTAACATGGAAACCCCGACACAGTGTACTGATTGCGTCTCCTTGTCCTCAATGATTCAATGCAGGAAGGGTAACAGCTAATACAAATCATTTCACGTCTCTATTCACCGACATTCCACTCTCCAGGCGGACGCTCTAGCCACTAGACCACGGTCACATTCTCTCAATAAAAATCACCAAAAATAAGCTATATTTCACCCATGTGTGGAATCGACCCGTTCCTTAGATGTGAAGAGCGAACGCTTCAAACACTGGGCCAATCAATCCACCGCCCCCAGTAGTGAACCAAACTCATTCAAAATATGAAGTATCCTATTGTTGGTGACTGTCCTTAGCCCTTAGCTTGAACGGTGGACACATGCCGTATCTAAAAAGTCTTCACAGCTCTCGTGATATATATCAAATATCTGAAAATGGATCTCACTCACTAACAAGTGTATCAACACAAGAACGACTATTTCAGAAAATACTCCCCACGACTTGCTGTGTCTGCGCAACTGCTGAGCATCATTGTAACAGATGTTATATTTGGGATAACACTTCCTTCGAGTCTACAGATTTTAGTACTTCTTTACTTTATCTGTACTTTACTAAGAAAGCGTTATCCCAAATATATCATTTGTTACACTTGACCGCTTTCTAAATGGCATTGTGTGTACATAGCATAATTGTAATGTGGAGTTAGCAAGTGAGTATGGTTTTACGCCGCTTTCAGCAAATCTCCAGCCACATCACGGATTGGGACAGCAAGAAATGTACCCATGTGAAGAATGGAATCTGGGCCTTCGGTGTCTCGAGCTAAATTGTATCAAAGTGCAGTGCACATTAAAACGTCCGCACATTACCTGACACACGCGCCTCCGCCTCGAGCCTGTCACCCTTCCACTTGGATACAATCGCACGTGCGCATTATGCGGTACCAAATAAAACAAGACGTTATTATTCTACAACCTCAGGTGTTGTTTAACCAATCCGTCTGCTCCACTTCAGTCATCATACCCAACCAATCCAACCAAAGCACCCATCATCAAAGATATATCATAACTCCGGACTCTATGAATGTATGCCTACAGTACTCGTAATAAATTATTTACCGCATGTTTATTCAGATCTGCTCTGAAACCCTCCCCACCCCGTTCTTGAAGCTGCGCCTCATCAATGAATAACCAGTCAGCCTGGACCCCACCTGGCACGCTGAGCTATGTAGCTGTCCGAACTGCGAGTTCGTCACATATACATGAATAATCTTTTCCGTTAATAATTAACGTTGCATCTCTGGAAGACGGCCCGTGAGCGGGCTGATCAGTCAATCAAAACTTCGCGGCATCGCCGACACGGCTCTGCTCATATCTGTGTTCAGGAGCGTGACAGACGCCGTCTCTGGTTGTCGTAGAAGCTCCTTGCACCGCAGACCCTATTAATTTCTTCGTTGATATCACCGAGCTGTGTAACCGGCGAATCCTTGAGGTCAGCGTCCTGCGGCAACGTGGAGTGTTGACGAGGAGTTCGCGCAGAGTTTACACAGCTTATTTACAACTACAAAGAGTACAGGTAAGAAAAGGTGACAAGGTGTAATTTCAAACAGATCATTTTTTGAGTGCCCGCTTTAATACCTCGAAATTGGGAGAATTGGTGACAGATTTAGTGCTTTGGTTGTCTATTGAAAATTGCAGCAATATTTAACCACTGAGTAAAAACAACTGGGTGTTTGAACATAACGTCTTTATATCATCGTACATGTTGGGAGTCGACTGCGTTTTGGAGTTCAAAGCGAACGAAACAAACCACAAGGCTACTTTGCCTCACTGTTAAGATTAGGATATTTGATCAACCAACTACGTATGTCTGCGCAACTTTATATACTTTCACAGCCCGCTACCAGTACTGACTGTGTCAACCCGGAGCTTGGAGTATCAAATGTATCATCGTGACCTTCGGTTATGCCAAAAGAGCTTCGTTCTCAATTTGTCATAGCCCATTAACCCAAGAAAAAATATCAATGGCCATTCATTCACAGTGAAGGAAAAAACTTAAAATCCAGCAATTATGGTATCTTGCTTTCCACCGAGTCCAAATATGTCGCGGACCCGTCGCCGGCCTGTACCGAACATGACGAAGATGTACACAACTCGTCCGAGATTCAGCGAGATTTAGATCCAGTTGCGTGAACTCGGCCTTTTGCTGTTTCTATCTTCGTTTAGTTTTCACATTTTTACTTAAAGCGTCACTTTATCAACATTTGCTTCTTTCGAGCGAGATTTATTTGAGTAAATATATTGTTTTTGCTTGATTTATCAGCCGTGGTATTGGTTTTATCCAATGCTGGAGGTTTTCTTGCGCTGGCGGTCTTGAAACGTGAGATGTGTTCAAGACACAATCTGACTTAATGTAAGCAACCATCAAAGGTGTGTTTATTACACACTGGACACGTGTGAATGACTAGTTCTGTATTGTAACCTTTACCCCAAGAACTATGCTTCATACAACCACAATTCGATGTTTCTGTGGTGCGGGAGCATGTTTTGGGAGGAATTTTAATAACGCATTTCTGAATATAACCGTGAGCGAGTGGGGGCTTAATTCGCCGTGAACAGTGATTCAGTCACACCACTGTGTACCAGCTTCTGGGTGGAGGAAAACCCGACGCGAAACTGGTCCCTGAAGTTTCCCACTTTAGTGAAACCCACGGGTAGGGGTGCTAAGAGATCAATGGACATAATCGAGGCGAATCTGGAATTCAAAACCACGATCAACGAATCCTGGCATAACTAAGGGACAGAACTCGACAGTAAAGACTAACCAAGCGCGGGTAACTGTGCCTGACCTTAAATGAGAGATGACGATGCAAAACTGTGAAAACCCGTTTTCGGTATGGTTGTCTTTTTTTAGTTGAGAGGCTAAGTCAGCAAAATTTCAGCTATTTAACGCACGCCTGTAAATAATTGAGCGTGGGCCACGCCTTGGGGTTCGAATCTGATTATCCAACAAAAATGGATTTCCATAACACGAAATTCACGTAGGGTGGGCATATGTTATGGGGCTCCACATGTCATTCTCAGAGGGTGAGTGGCCCCATTACAACCCTACCCCCGAATCCGCCACGGTAAAGATGCAGGCTTTCTTGTTCCAAACAACCCATCGGATTCGTCCTTTCAAATATAATATATTACACGTTATCCCAAACGCTATGCGGCGTTAAACAGCAACAAACAAACCGCCGCCATCTATCTGGAATGTTGCTGAGTGCGGAGTTAACAACAAACAAACCGCCGCCATATAGCTGGAATGTTGCTGAGAGCGGAGTTAACAACACAAACCGCCGCCATCTATCTGGAATGTTGCTGAGTGCGGAATTAAACAACAAACAAACCGCCGCCATATAGCTGGAATGTTGCTGAGAGCGGAGTTAA